GCCCCCACCTGACTCCCCCCTGTGCCTGACCTCACTGTGCTCTCCTGGGCTACCCCTACCGAAGAGTGTCCAGTGAGTTCATGGAGGTGTTCAGGGTTGAATTGAGTCCCCCCAAAATTCACGTGTTGACGTCCCCAGTACCTCAGAATATGACCTCATTTGGAACCGGGGTCATGGCACAGTGATTATGTGATCATACTGGAGTAGGACAGGCTTCCGAGGCTTTTACAAAAAGGAGAATCTTGGACACAGACCCACACACAAGAAGGACGTCTTGTAAGTGAAGGCAGACACCGGGGTGATGCTCCCACACACCATGGAGCACCAGAGCACGCCAGCAGAGCACCAGAAGCCAGAGAAGAGGCCTGGACTTCTTCCTCACAGCCCTCAGGAGGAACCGGCCCTGCTGAGGCCCCCTCCTCAGCCTTCCGGCTTCCAGAACAGGGAGACAATACATTTCTGTTGTTGAAGTCATTCAGGTTTGGGCATCTTATTACAACAGCCTGAGGGAACTAACGCAGGAGATAAATGTGTTCCCAGGAAACAGTAGCTTTCACTTGCAGAGCAAGGCCCTTCATCTCTCCTACCCTCTTGCACTCTGACCCCCACACAAACCTGTGAGGAAGGCTTCTCGGGTGTTCTTATTCCCACTGTGTAAATTAAAAAAAAAAAACAAACAAACAAACCCTGAAGCTCAAGGGGGGCAAAGTATTTTGGCTTACAGTTCTCCCCATGTTTTTCATGGGCAGAGGCAGACTGCAGTTTTGCTCTTTTTGCACAACCACAGGAGGCGGCCTTAAGGCAGCTTTGCACAGTCCAACATGTTAGACGGTTTGTCAAGTTCCCAGTTTGAAGACCTACTCTTCTACCTCAGGGTTGTGTCTCCCCAGATGCCCCCCACCATTCACTCAGGTCCGTTGACCCTCCCCCAAAGAAACTGCCTTTTTAACAAAAGATTGATTGATTGATTTGAGAGAGCAAGCGTGCATGAGTGAGCACATGAGCAGGAGGAGGGCCAGAGGGAGAGAACGTCAAGCAGATTCTGCCCTGAGGTGGGGTGGGGGGTGGGGGACCCCTCGATGCAGGGCTTCATCTCACAAGCCTGGACCACGACTGAGCTGAAACCAAGAGTCAGAGGCTTAACCGACTATGCCACCCAGGTGCCCTCGAAGGAACCTCCTTTCTAAAGCTGCCACCACCCACTCTCATGCCCCGAGACTCTTCCCCCCACCCTACTGGCTCCAAAGAGAGACAGCCTTCCCAGTGCCTCCTTTTAAGGATTTGTGGCAGGGAGATGGGGGTAGGCAGGGGGACTGATGGTGGGAAGGGGGTGGTGGAGGGGATAGGTGGTAAAAGCAACAACTACAGGGATGTTTCAAAGCCTTGAATAATTTTTCTGACACCTGGGTCCCTAATTTTGTGGCTGGACTGACAAGAGGAATCTCCCCTCTTGAAATTTTGGTTTTATTTCTTAGTGTGGGCCCCACCAAACCGACTTTTTTATGAAGAGGGAATAAAGATGCCATCAGGGCGGATGACTAGATGCCAGCCAGGGCTACTCTGAAGGCCACTCATCTGCGGGAACATGTGATTTCTGGGGCCTTCCAGAATGGGTCACTGTCACCTCACCTATGTCTCTGAAATTCTCCTAACAGCCCCTGGGGTGCCCTGTGATTCCCTGCAATCATGCCAGCTTGATGAGATGGAAGAATCCTCCTCAGAATAAAGTTTCTGGGACGTCTGGGTGGCTTTGCGGTTGGGTGGCTGCCTTCAGCTCAGGTCATGATCCTGGGATCCAGGATCGAGTCCTGCATCCAGCTCCTGCGAAGAGCCTGCTTCTCCCTCTGCCTGTGTCTCTGCTTCTCTCTCTCAGTCTGTGTCTTCATGAATAAATATTCTTTTTTAAAAAATATTTATTTAAAGTTTCTAATGTTTAAAATGAAATACACAGAATTATAAAGGAAATGAATTCCTTTGAAGGAGTTGCCAAAGATATTTTAAGATTTTGTGATATAATAACATATATGCTTCACTACTATTATATTAAAGAGCATGATCTAGCCTCAGAACTAATAACTACTGTAATTTTGAAGTCATGCTGAACTACATGCTATTTTAAGAAGATATCTAAAAAACAACTGTAATGTGTTATGAAAACGCCCATGATTTCTGTTGGTGACAAAGTGACAGACAGGTATTGCTAAAACTTCTGTGACTTGTTGTCTACATCCATGGTTGAAGTATATGCTAAATTTTGGTTAGCGGTTAGTGAAAATCGTGATAAAATATTTTTTCCCTTGTTTTTTTCTTAAAGATTTTAGTTTTTTTTAATTTTTATTTATTTATGATAGTCACACAGAGAGAGAGAGAGAGAGGCAGAGACACAGGCAGAGGGAGAAGCAGGCTCCATGCACTGGGAGCCCGACGTGGGATTCGATCCCGGGTCTCCAGGATCATGCCCTGGGCCAAAGGCAGGCGCTAAACTGCTGCGCCACCCAGGGATCCCAAAGATTTTCGTTTTAAGTCATCTCTACACCCAATGTGGGGCTTGAACTCACAGCCCCGAGATCAAGAGTCTCATGCTCCACTCACTGGCTGAGCCAGCCAGGTGCCCCTAAAATATTTTATTCCTAGTTTAAATTCATGGGCCCAAGTTAAGAGCCTCTGGCCTACATCCTTGCTTCTCAAACTTCCCAGTGTGTAGGAATCACCCAAGGATCTTGTTAGAACGCAGATTCTGATTCTGTTGGTTTAGGGGAGGCTTGAGGCTCTGTACTCTTCACAATTGTTCATGATAGTGGGCTGCTGGAGGATATGCACTCCAAACTCTGTGGTGCTAGGTAATGGTTACAACCAGCACCATTATGGGCATCTGAGAGCAGGGACATCAACTGGTCTTGTTGGGGGTGAAGGGAGATGTCAGGGCCTCAGAGCAATTGCATGATCGCTTCCTGGTAGTCCTGTGGTGACAAGGCTGTCCCAGCAGCGAATCTCTCAAAGAGAATGCAGAGGACACTCTGCTTGGCAAAGCTTCAGGGAAATTGCAATCCCTTTAATGCTCTAGTTCGAGCCTGAACACGAGACCTTTTGCTTTGCCTGTCAGAAACCAGACTGGGCCAGTTAGATAAGACTAAATTAATGGGAAAACAAATATAAAATAAATGGCAGACAGTAAAACTGGACCGTGGAACATGACTTCAAGACATCCTGCCCACTCGGGGATGGGATTCAATGACAAGTCTTGTGCTTTCCCTCAGGCTGACCCTCGGGAAGTGAAACCCCAGAGGACAAGCAGCATTTTCTACCAGAGCATTCCCGAGAAGGCTATGAATCTCTGAGTTCGACATGGTGAGCCCCGGCTCACTTCCGTGCTCATTTTGGAGGTCTGGGATTTTTCTAAAGGGAGATGCCCAGTCCCCTGCCCCCTTCTTGGTTCCTGGAGACTTCAAAATGTGGGATGCCATCTTCTACCTCCCAGGAGACCACCCCTAGCAGGAGGGAACTCCCTCTTGGCCTCAGCCTTCTGCTGCCTCCTGAGTTCTGGGCTGACAATGCTCTCTGTCCCCATTACAGGTTCTTTTTAAAAAAGATTTTATTTATCTATTCATGAAAGACACAGAGGCAGAGACACAGGCAGCGGGAGAAGCAGGCTCCCTTCAGGGAGCCCAATGCAGGACTCGATCCCAGGACCCCGGGATCACGCCCTGAGCCAAAGGTAAATGCTCCACCACTGAGCCACCCAGGCGCCCCATTACAGGCTCTTTTAGGACTCTTTATTCTATTGTGGGAAATCCTCACTGAACCCAGCCACCTGGATGCTGTAGCCTAAACCCACAATCATATTTGAACACAATGCATGAGACTGAAGACCCACGCAAGAGAATCACACACATACACAGTGCAAGGGGGCCTAATCTGTACCAATCTTGATTGCCATATTGGCTGTCTATACTTCTCTCTGGAGCCTTGGCTAAGAGCATGCATGATCTTTGCAGCCATCAGATCTGGGTCCCAGTACACCACAGACAAGCTGCATGACCTTAAGGAATGTGATCAGTTTCCCTAAGCTTCAGTGTACTAATCTGCTAAGTATGATAATGGATACCTCACTGGACTGTTGGGTGGATTAAATAAGATGACGCTTGCAATTGGTACTCTGTCTGACACACAATAAATTCCTAATATTCGTTATTAAAGTACTAGCATATAGTGAAGTAGTTATTTCAGCATTTAAGAATATTGCTTCTAGGGGCACCTGGGTGGCTCAGTGGTTGAGGGCCTGCCTTTGGCTCAGGTCGTGATCCCGGGGTCCTGGGATAGAGTCCCGCATCAGGCTCCCCATGGGGAGCCTGCTTCCCCCTCTGCCTGCGTCTCTGCCTCTCTCTGTGTGTATTTCTCATGAACAAATAAATAAATAAAATCTTTTTAAAAAAGAAGAATATACTATCAAGGGGAGTACCGTGGTTGTCACATAGGTGCTTGACAAATGCTTTTTGAATAAATGAAGTTAGCACATCCACAAGACTGTTCCTGTTTGGAAAGGTATTCCTTTAAGCCTCCCTTCAGTCACTATAAAGAGGACTGTAATATTGTGATTTATTTTATTTTCATTTTTAAAAGTTTATTTATTTTTAGTACTCTCTACATCCGAGGTGGGGCTCAAACTCACAACCCCAAGATCGAGTCTCATGCTCCACCGATTGAGCCAGCTAGGCGCCCCTGACACTGTGATTTGTGATAAATATATATTTGGCGTTCCTCAGTTCCTGACACAGAGCTACTAAAAACCTTGGGCTTTCTTGTGACCCAAAGGAGAAAGGTGTCTTCTGTTATGTTAATGAGATGACTTTTGGCCTTCGCTGAGGCTGGAGGGCTGTTTGCCAGTGGAATCAACCTTGTGACTTGGGGGTTAGAACTTTCAGTCCCACCCCCACATCCCCACTCCCCTCCACTTCTGGGGAGGAGAGAGGGGCTGGAGTTTTAATCAGCAATGGCCAATGATTCAATCAATCATGACTATGTAATCATGTAATCCTCCATAAAAACCCGAAGGACAGGGTTCAGAGAGCTTCTGGGTTGGTGAACACATGGACATTCCGGGAGAGTGACACTCCTGGGAGAGGACGTTGAAGCTCTGCACTCTTTCCTCATGCCTTGCCCTGCGCATCTCTTCCATCTGGCTGTCCCGGAGTTATATCATTTAGTAATAAACCAGTAATCTCGTAAGTGAAATGTTTCTCCAAGTTCTGCGAGCTACTCTAGCAAATTAACTGAACCCAAGGAGGGAGTCCTGGGAACCTCCAGATCTGGAGCCAGTCTGCCAGAAGCCCAGGTGACAACCTAGACTCCTGATCTGTGTCTGAAGGAGGGAGGGGCGACCAGAGCCCTTAACCTGTGGGATCTCCAGGTAAAAAGTGTCAGAATGGAGCTGAACTGTAGGACAGCCGGCTGATGTTAGAGAATTGCTTGGTGGTGTGGGAAAACGCCCACACGTCATTACTGATGTGAATTGTTGGGGTCTGGAGCAAACAGTCAAGAAAGAATTCTTGAGGTGTCTTTGGTACAAAAAGATGGTTTTAATTAAAGTGCAGGGACAGGACCTGTGGTCAGAAAGAGCTGCGCTGGGTGTGTGAGGAGTGACTGATTTATACTTTCAAGCTGGGAGGGACAATGTAAGTCTTGAAGGAATTGGAAGCAAGTTTTCCAGGATCTTGAAGGGTCATGTACTACTGTCTAGTAAACCCTTAGTCATGAGACCCTTCAGATGTATATCAGTGAGCCATACACTTGGAGGAGGCGGGGTACAGATGAAGCTTCCAAAGGAATTTTTATGTTAGAGGAGACTTACATGACCTCCTGGAGGTCAGGCTAATGTCAAGCTAAGGTCGCCTTTTGCTTCTGGCAAAGTATTAACATTGAGGCAGTTGAGTCTCTGGAGGAAGGTCACTCTGCCTGTCTCAAGTACTTGTAAATGGGCTATAAGTTGTAAGGAAGTTTTTTTTTTTTCTTTTTTTCTATATTTATTTTGCGTTTGTTCTCCACATCAGGAATTGGTGTCAGAATCATAAGGACACAGTCTACTCTGACACATGATTGAGACACAAGTCTTTGCCATCTCCCTTGGTCATCACACCCTATAAGGTCATCATGAATGTTTTGTCAGGAGGAAACCACAGCTCATGGAGGCCTAGTGACTTGTCCAAAGTAACACGTAGCAAGTGTCTGAACTAAGCCTCAAACAGAAACCCGGATGTACACTGAAACAGCATAAAATCTTGTCTGAGGTCAGGTGGCCTGACTTACCATAAGGATCCTATGTAGCTAGGGAGCCACAGAAAGATATTCCCAGAACCTGGAGCTTAAGTCATTTTCAAGAGAGTAAAACAGCTAAAAATTAACAAAAATGGATACATTTAGCCATTTATAAAAAGAACCACTCTAAATGATGCTTTGTAAATGTGTAATGAAGAGATCGGGAAATACCTAAGTTCAAAAAAGGTGTCTAAGACCAAAAAGTAGTAAAGAGACTTGCAGCACAATCAATAGTTCTTGAACTGACCTAAGAAAAGGTATGGTCACTGAACTCTGTGGTCTGCCTGGAGCCCAGAAAGAGTGTCTTTAAAGGAAAAAGCCCGTCAGCGCGTCTCTGGTTCCACCTGAAGGAGACATCCTGACTTTGGAGAGAGAGACACTGCCTGGGCCAGGCACAGTTCATTATTTCTAAAGACTTGTGAAAGTGTCCGTTTGCTCTGTGCTCACTGAGCACACTTCTGATTATTAGTTTTCCAGGTTAGCTTGATACCAGAAAAGGCATACCTGGTAGGAACTGTCACCCCGTCGGTTTACATTTGCCTTGGGTTCCTCAGTCTCTTAGGAGTTTAATGACTGTGAGTCAGTCTTGAGCCCTGTCTCAGTTTTATACTGGTTTCAGGTTCATCAGTGTCTTATGAACTAATCATTGAGCCCAAATAATGATGAGTGTGCTTATAGCTCTAACATCTGGAACTGCAAACCAGAGCAAGGGCTATCCCCTGGTCCCCAGCAATGCTGAGAAGGTGCCTCTACCCTGGGAGACACCCCCCGCCCCCCAACATGCATGTAGGATGTCTGTAATGAAGTCCCTCAACATTCAGCCTCCGGTCAAACAGCTGAAGAGTCAGGTGAAGGTCACAGGTCACTTCACGATGCCCTGCCAGGCGCCCCCACCTATGGAAGCACTGGGCTCCCCCAGTAGGGTCAGGAGCTGAGGGGGGCAGTGCAAAATAACACAGGCTGATTGGAAGAAAGTGTCACAGGCACTTGAGGGCCCCAAGGTAGAGGGGGAGAAAAGGGAAGTTTCACTCTTTTCTTCCTGCCTGTGGTCAGACATGTGTGAGCCCTGCTCGTCCCCCTTAAAAGAGCAGGACTCATGAGGCAACAGGTGATGTCAGCGTCTGGGGGACACAGGAGGATTAGTAAATCCTGGAGGCTGTTTCTCACCAGAGAGAAGCCACACAAGTGGCCAGGCCAGGCGAGGCATGGGCCTCCCATTCCACTCAAGGGATGACAGTTCCCTTTTATCTTTTTCTCCCCTCTGGGACTCTGGGAGTGATTGAGATAATTTACCATTTAATGTGGGCAGATGGCTTAATTAAACTAAGTCGAAAGACATTCACAATGGTTCTGGGTGTGTGAACCACTGGGGGGTGGGACCCGGTTCCACCTGCCAGATGTGTCCTCCTCCCCTGCTACTAGGCTTGGTCCTGAGGCGCCACAGTACAGGGTCCCTGCGGGTGGCTTGCTTGGGAATCTAAGATCCCGGCTTCAGAAGCGGGTTCCTCCTGCAGGCTCTGCTGGAGCAGCGTGGGCGGGTCCCAGCCCACCCCTTGGGGAAGACCTCTGATTTGGGGGCGGTCTCCAGGTGTAGGGACAGCAGCCGCCGAAGCCCCTGGCCTTGCTGATCCTCCCAGAGGCCGGCTAGGTGCTGGGTGCTGGGCAGCCAGCCAGGTTGAATCCAGTTCCTTCCCCCAGGGAGTTTATAGCAGGGTGGAGATCCCAAACTCCTGGATTTTTATAGGCAAGAGGAGAATCTAGTCCTTCTAAATTCTATGGATGAGCACGCTGAGACCCAGACAGGGAAGCCAGTGGGTCAACACGAGCAGAGAAGAGGCGTGAGAACCAACCTGTTGGCCTCTGTGCCACGGTCACGCGCATGCACAGTGGGGCTCCTGTACATATTGGGGTGGAGGGGAAACGGAAAGTAGTGCTGCCCTCATCCCTCCTCCCAGCTCCCTTCCCGTATTCCTCAGTTGTTGGGGTTCCTACCCAAAAGAAGGCTGAGTCCTTCCCCATCTCTATGGTTATGTTTGGAGGGAGGAGAGGGAGCCCCCCAAAAGGCAATGAGCTTCCAGGTCCCACCACTGCAGCCTCCAGCCCCGAGCTTTACAGTCTTTGGGGCTGGACCCCAAGGGGCGGCCCCGCATCATTTCCTGGGTGAAATCTGCTTCCACGGCTCATTAACCTATCCCATCTGCAGTTGGCAAGTCTGGGGGGAAGAGACCAACAACAAACCACCGTCCTCTCAATCCCCCTGCCCCCAAACACCTTAAAATGAGTGCTTGGGCCCAGAGCCAGGGGAGTGATGAAGTTTTCTAGACCACAAGGCAACATTTCATGGCTCATTACCTTCATTACTTTGCGGACCAGAAGCCCCCTCGTCACCCCCCACAGGAAGCCTGAGTCTGCCACCTGAGTCTAATGCCCCTGGGAAGGATCTGAGTGACTTGGGCAAGGATGCTCGGGGACCTGTCCTCAGGACTTGCAGCGGTTTGCTTCCAGGAGGACTCCAGAAGCGGCCTAGCTGAGCAGGGAATGTGACACAGGAACTCAGGGGTCTGAGTGGGGCTAGGAGCCACCACATTGGGGATGACAGGGCAGCGGAGCAGACGGTGGTAGCTCAGGGAACCAGGAGATGATGGATAGAATTGTCACATAAAATACAGGGCCACCAGTTAAATTTGAATTTCAGATAAACAGTGAATAATCTCTTAATTTTTTAAAGTGAGCCTCAGCGTGGGGTTTGAACTCACGACCCCAAGATTAAGAGTTGCATGCTCTACCAACCAAGCCAGCCAGGAGCCTTACGAATAATTTCTTAGTGTAAATATATCTGAAATATTCCATGGAACATGGAATATATATTTATACTGAAAAACCATTCATTGTTTATCTGAAATTCAAAGTTAACTGACCATCCTGTATATTTTTTTAAAGATTTTATTTATTTTTTGGGAGAGAAAGAGAGAGGCAGAGGGAGAGAATCTTGGGCAGACTCTGTGCTGAGTGCAGAGCCCAACGTGGGAAATTGATCCCATAACTCTGGGATTGTGACCTGAGCTGAAACCACCCAAGCACCCCAGTCATCCTGTGTTTTATTTGCTAAATCTGGCAGCCCTAACAGCAGGGGATGGACAGCCAGGAGACGGTGGGGCAGTGGACTGCACAACGGTGGAGAGTAGACTAAGGGATGGGGCTGGGAGTAGCAACCAGGGATCCTCCGCTGGTAGACCAGAAATATACCCCACCTGGGACTTAGGTACTGAGAACCTGTTTCCTATCTAAGCCAACTCCCGAGGACCTCTTTCTGCCTTCCCTAAGGTCCCAGGCCCTTAGCTGCCCCCCTGCCACTCTCCCTCTTGGGGTTTCTCTCTGCCTCCAAACTCAGAGGGATGGACTGCCGTCTCCTCACCCCTGCAGCCATCAGGCACAAGTTCCTAGACTCTTGCTGTTTGAAGGGTTTGTGAATACCAGCTTTGGAAGCACACTGGGGGTGAGTCTGAGCGGAGCCTCCCACTAGCTGTGCATCTGGGCATGTAATTCACTACTCTGAGCCTTGGTTTCTGAGAAATGGGGGTAAAAAGAGAGCTGACCTGTTGTGATCACCTAGTGGGTTAATGTCTACAAAGCTGTAAGAACATAGCATTCAGTAAATGATAGTTTAAAATGCCTAAAGCCCTCTAATGACTACAGGGAACCAGGGAAGGGATAATAAAAAATAATAAACACAGGAAAGTTCCGCAAGTACTCACTCACAGCCATTACATGTCTTTTAGAAATAATGGAAACCCTCTCTCCCACAGTCCCCTCTGAGAGCCTAGAGCAGAGTTCACTAGAGCCCCTTTCCTCCTTCCTTTCCCTCCTTCCCCAGGGCTGCTGTATCCTGCATTAGTCTCGAAGAGGAGCGGTGGATTAGGGTCCATTCACCCCTGCAGCCAAGCGGGCAAGGTGCTTCCTGGGGAGACCACAAGTCGGGAGGCTCCTCATTCATTCAACAATTTTTACTGAGCTTGTATGTAGTGGGAATAGACGAGTGAATGAGACAGACCTTGCCCTTGCCTTCGTGGACCTTACCATCTGGCTGAGGGGCTC